CTGTGCAGGTTGTGAGGAGGACAGTAGTATCAGCTGCCTTTCAGCAACTTGAGGCCACCTTTGTGAAAAACCACCCACTCTACTTGGGCCACATCAGTGGGTGACTTTTGACATTAGAAGGCTGAAAATGCCACACTTGGATCATCATGGCCATTTCTGAACCCGTGTCCCATGTAGAGCATGAAGACTGACTAAGCACACACTGATCAGTGAATGCTTCTCCTCCAATTATCTTTCACTTGCTTCTTTAGCCCACAGATAACCCTAAATCAGTGGTGGCGAACCTATGGCACGTGTGTTATTTGTTTTTCTTTTTAAGACAAAAACAGTTAATGTATGAGTTTAGTCCCTTTCTTCAGAGTTCACACTCAATTTCACTGGGGACGCAAACCATAAGGCTGCCACTCCTACCATCCATGCCACTAAGAGTGACAGAGATTCAAGCTGATAAGACGTGAGTAGCAGGAACATGGAATTTGGGGAGCTGCCATCCCTGTGCAGCCCTTTGTCCTTCCTTCTTTTCTCCTGGAACCCTCTGGAATGCAGCATCTGCGGCCATGGACAGCCCGGAGGGTGAAAGCCAAAGGCAGAGTGGCTGGGGCAGAGGCAGACGGGGGACAGACATGGAGATGACCAGGGTCAGCGCAAATGCCCACGCCAGAGTTCTGTCACAGGAGCAAGAACACGTTTCCTCACCTTGCGCCGGTTGTACTGGGTGTTCTGCTGGGCAGGAGAATTAAATCCCAACAGAAGCGCTAGCTTTGCCTTGAATCACTGTGTGCACCTGGCCTGGACACTTCCCTCCTCAAGGGCACACACAGTCCTGTCTGCTCAAGGGGCAGGGCTGAGAGGAACACAGACAAGTCTCACCTGATCACACCGAAGTCCACTGGTAACAGTGCCAGTGTCTAATTCTGAGGAAACACTCCTCCCCTGCCAAGTCCATTTCTGGCTTTAGGGAAAAGCAACTCTGAGGACGAGATGCTCATAGGATGAGGGGTGCCCTGTACAGGAGCCATGCAGCAGTGTTCCTGTCATTATGACACCCACAGGCCGGGTGTGCCTGGCTGTGACACAAACCCGTCTATACTAAGCAGGTATGGTGGAAAGAAAACCATATGACCCTGGAGGACCTCCCTGCACACCTCGCCCCCTCGGTGGGGAGGGTATTCTGCAGCATCCACTAATGCCACAGGTAGGAACCAGGTGTCACCCTGAGAAGTGACAAGGGAAAAAGAAATCTAGAGGCAGCTCCTTCAAGGGACAGAAGCACCCAGTTTCCAACAGGCCATGAGAAGCAGGGAAGCAGGAGATGCTAGGATTTCATGCGTGGGGAATCTTTAAGGGGTCCAGGGGTCAGCCTGTTCTGGGTCATTCCCAAGGCAGCCTGGAGAGGGCAGGGCCTGTGGTCCTATGTTCACCAACCTGCCCACCTTCGACTAGGCCCACGGCTCCCTAGGGTAGAGGGGACACAGCAGAGAAAGCCTACATCCCCTGTGTATCGTGGCACTTTTTATTTTTTATTTTAGCTAGAGTCACTAAGTCACTAAATTGCTCACGCTGGGCTTGAACTTTGATCCTCCCACCTCAACCTCCCAGGGTGCTGGAATTACAAGCCTGTCACCTTGCCTAGTTGAAACATCTTTCTTCTTTTTCTTTCTTCTTTCTTTCTTTCTTTCTTTCTTTCTTTCTTTCTTTCTCTCTTTCTCTCTTTCTCTCTTTCTTTCTTTCTTTTTCTTTTTTCTTCTTCCTTCCATCCTTCCTTCCTTGTTTTCTCTTTTTTCTTTCCCTTCCTTCCTTCCATCCTTCCTTGCTTTATTCCCCTTTCTCTTTCTTTCCTTTCTCTTCTCCTTCTCCTTCTCCTTCTCCTCCTTCTTCTTCTCCTTCTCCTCCTTCTCCTTCTCCTCCTTCTTCTTCTCCTTCTCCTCCTTCTCCTTCTCCTTCTCCTCCTTCTCCTTCTTTTCTTCTTCTTCTTCTTCTTCTTCTTCTTCTTCTTCTTCTTCTTCTTCTTCTTCTTCTTCTTC